TTTATAATCCATTGGGGTGGATGATGGGCAACAAGCTAACATGCCAGTGTCAGAAAGAATATCAAGTGTATATTTACGTTGACTCAGATGAATACCAGTGTTGTTTCTAGCAACCTCAAGACCAAGAAAATAGGTTAAATCTCCAAGATCTTTGATTCTAAAAGCTTGATCAAGAAGAGTAGTGATGCGTTGTATTTCAATGAGGTTGTTCCCAGCAAGAACGATGTCATCAACATAAACTAGGAGAGCTGTACTAGTAGAATCTGTAAACTTCAAAAACAAAGAATGATCTGCAGAAGAGTGTGTATATCCATGTGTCAAAAGAAACGTTGAGAGGCGGGCATACCACTGACGGCTGGCCTGTTTGAGCCCGTACAAGGAACGATTTAGCTTGCAAACTTGTCCCGATTTAGTGGAGGGTAAACCAGGAGGAAGATGCATGTATACTTCCTCATTGAGATCACCATGCAAAAATGCATTATTGATGTCCAACTGTTTAAGAAACCAGTTATGAATTGCAGCCAATGAGAGAAGGCGAACTGTAGTTAACTTAGCAACCGGTGAAAACATGTCAATAAAGTCAAGGCCCTCAAGTTGTGTGTATCCTTTGGCTACTAAGCGGGCTTTGTATCGTTCAACTGATCCATCAGCATTGTGTTTTCTCTTGTAAATCCATTTGCAACCCATTCCTTTTATTCTCTCTTTTAATGCCAGTTGCCTAACACTTTGAATATATCTTTCATTTTTCATCAATAATATACAATACTAAATTCTCTGAATCTCTCTCTCTCTCATATTCTCTAGCACAAACAGGTAATTTTAGTGCCTCCAACTCTCATAATTGCAACCTCAAATTTGTGTGTACCATGAATCATTGATTTAGGTGCTTATGATCACATGACCACCCTTTTTCCTTATTGAAAACTTAATCTCCTTGTTTCGAAAATAAAAAGACTAGAATTGCATATGGCAGTTTTTCAGCAATTGTAGGAGAAGGGAGTATTAAGTTATCCACATTGACTTAAAGAATGTGTTAATGTACCAAAACCTTCTTGTAACTTTCTCTCTGTTAGTAAAATTTGCAACGATTCTAATTGGAATGTGAAATTCTTTAAAACTCATTGTATTTTTCAAGACTAGACTTCGAGGAAGATGATTGGCAATGCTAAAATGATGGATGGTCTCTACTATTTTGAGGATGCTTTCAAGAATAAAGTAGCTCAAGGTCTTAGTGGTATTAGATTTCCCCTATAAGGGACCAAATAATACTATGGCACCCTAATTTTCAATATCTTAAGCATTTGTTTCCAAATTTATTCAAAAATGTTTATTGTTTTTCTTTTAAGATGAGAAAGTTGTGTTCTTGCTAAAAGTCATAGAACTTCTTACTCATCTCAACCTTATCATGCATTTAAAAACCTTTTCATTTAATCCATAATGATGTATGAGGTCGATTGAAAATTACAACCTAATTTGGGAAAAGGTGGTTCATAACCTTCATTGATGATTACACTCATATGTGTTGGATCTACCTTATGCAAGAAAACTCTGATGTTCCTAATATATTTTTAAAAAAAATTCAAATGGTAGATACACAATTTGACACAAAAATATCCATTTTGAAAAGTGATAATGGCACTGAATATTTTAATAAGAATCTCAAAGAACTCTTTCAAAATAAAGGCATTCAACATCAATCGACATGCCCAAAAAATCCTCAACAAAATGACACTACTGAAAGAAAAAATAAACATCTTCTTGAAGTAGCCTGTGCCATCATGTTTGAGAGTAGGTTCCAAAGTATTTATGGGGGGATGTTGTCCTAACAACAGCCTATCTCAAATAAAATGCCCACTCGTGTTAAATTATCACATGCCTTTGGGCACTTTTAAGAACTTATTTCCATCATGTCAATTGTATGTTGATTTGCCTGTAAAAGTGTTTGGTTGCACTTTTTTTTTTGCATACACCTTTTACCTCTCGGTCTAAACTAGACCCAAGAGCGAAAAAATGCATTTTCAATAGTTATTTACCCACCCAAAAAGGTTATAGATGTTTTAATCCCATCACAAAGAAGCTTCATGTTAGCATGGATGTTAACTTCTTGGAACATCAAAATTTTCAACAAAAAAAAAATCCCTTCCTTCAACCTTCAGGACAAGGTTACACTCATAGGAGGCGGTATTGTTAGAAACTCATTAGCATCTGGCCAAGTAAATGGGCCTAGGACTTGGAAGGTCTACACTTGAAGGAACAAATGCAAGGCTAGCAATGAATTAGGAAGGACACATGTCTAATTGTAATGATTGGGTTGTTAAGATTTCTTGGATTGTGTGAAGGGACATGGGGAAAAATGGGTGATGGTTTGTTATAGAGGAGTGAGAGAAGATAGAGAAAACAATCTTTTTTGGGGGTTTTAGCATAGCTATGACTTAATGGGTAGGGGTTTTCCTTTAAGGAGTTTATACTTTGTGGATAGGGAATTACTTGTAATTCTGCTACTTTTTCCTTCTGAATAACACTACTCATATTTGGTTTCTCTTAGATGCCCTATCACATACGAGTTATTAAGCTTGAAATGTGGACAATGCATGGGTCCCCTAAAATTTGTTTTAATGGTGAACGATGAAGAATCAAAATTTCAACCATTGGATTGTAGAGACTTTGATATCATGTCAATGACTAACTCTCATAGTGGGGACCCACAAATGCTTTTGTATCTCTAACAATGGTATCAAAGCTTCTCTGACCAGTTGGTAATGAGTTTGATCCTTGACCCCCATCTTCATAATTAAATCAAAACTTCTGCATGAGGGAAGTGGGCTTGTGTAGAGATTTCAAGCCCAAAGTCCTCTAGTGTGAAGGCCTAAATGGGGATGCTATAGATATAAAACCATTATTGAGCATCCACCTTATAACTGGGGCTATTGGGAGAGTTGATCTTTAACATAGATACATTTGACTGAGAACAAATAATGGTAGGCTCAATACTACATCATGTGCTACTTTGCTAGCCAAAATGTTTTTTCATTCAGTCACACTATGTTTAAAAGGAAAGAAACATATTTCCTTTGATTTAATATTCTTTGCCACTGTATTATGAGATTAGCTAAATCTAATATTTTGGCCAGTTCTTTTCTCAGACTGTATTTATGGGTTCCTACTTGGTAGCTGATTCAGTGACACACGATAGTCCTGTGCACGCTGAGTTTCCTTAGCATGGCCCTGGGCAACCTATTACATCTCAGATTGATCTCACCACTTCAATACTCTGCCTCATTCCATGTACTAAAAACATTGGCGTTGCCCACGGGAGTTCTATACAATGGGCAAGCCATCCCAAGCCTATATCCACTTGCCATTCGCCCTGTCCTCCAAAGACATCACACTTCTACAAAACAGCATGCAGATAGAAGCACAAACTTACAGGCATATCTGTTTGTGCACAAATCTTGAAGCAATATAGCAAAACAGAATAAAACTCTGCCAATAGAAAAACATTTCACGAATTCACAAGAAAAACATAAGTTGATTATTAATAAATAAATACCTGTCTAAAAATGGCATAAGTATATAGTCATGAACCAGAAAGTCCATTGCCCAAGGTACAATAATCAACACTGCCAAATATTTAGCCTGTAATAACAATTTTGGTTCATGAAATTGAGTTACTGAATAAAGAATATTTAAGCGAGCACCAGCACATCATTCACTTGGTATGATAATATTAGTATGCTGGATGATGTCTTAAAAAAATCAACTGAACACTTGACGTCCATGATTTGAATGCTTCCGAAAAGAATAAGTTCAAAATGAAGATCAAATAGTTCTATTGGGACAATTAAATTTCTCCATCTAACACATAGGACATACACATACCCGCAATGTATGACTTCAAGCCCTGGGGATATAATGGTGAGTATCAACAAATTTATAGCAAGTCTATACATTCAGAGTTGGTGAATATGTCATTCCAACTCCCGTTGTAGCCGCTGGCTTATTATTCCTGCTTTCCCCCACCCTTCTTATACAAGGGTAAAGGCTAAGCTATTAGCTAATGAGGGTTTTGCCTGAGAAGAAATTTTATCACATAAAAGACAAGCATTTGATGAAAAGAAGCAAATGCACTAACCGAATTTGATGAGGCATACTGGAAAACACGGTCTTCATAAAGCATGTCATCATCTTCCCCTCCAATTCCAAAAATCAAATACCTAGCGAACTCAACCAGCCCCTTTTCCGTATGAACATCACCGGAATCAGCTCGCACATTATCCCTATAATCATTCATCCCCTGCTCCCAGTCCCAGTCTTGACTCCAAGAAGAAGTGTTATCTTCATCCAAAAGCCAATCTTCCCATTTCTTGTACTCCTCGTTCCTCCTATCTTCTTGGGCTTCTCTCAACTCCACAATTGCTTCAGCTCTCTGCTTCCATGCCTCGAACTTCTCGCCTTCAGATAACTCTTCTGTGCTCTCACCCTCGCCCTCAGCCTCAGCTTCAGCCTCTACCATATCATCGTCTCTCAAACCAAGCCAGTTCCCATCATCTTCGAAAAAGAATTTCTGCCACCAACTGCTTTTCCTTGAATGCCCACTATGCTTTTCCGCTTTCGAAATGAATCCATTAAGTCGCCTCGTTTTGCTGCCCAACTGAATCACAAAGTTCGATGAACCATGCGAGACGAAAGAGTTCAAAAGCAGTTTCTGGTTGAACAAGATTATGTTGTCGCATGAAACAATTGAAGAGCTCATCAAGAACATGAAACATTTTTCAGTTTCCCAAGTGAATGCACATTCTGGTTCTGAACAGTCCCAGCCTCTTCAATTCATATTAATATTATCCTCATGTCACGCCTTATTGCCACTTTTATTTTATACGTCCGTGTCCGTACAAAAAAGAGCATCACCATAGCACAGTCATAGGCATGGCTATTGTTCCGCCACGTTATAAATGGTCTCATCTCTCGCTTTTTGAATTCTCTATTTACATATTTTAGAGTTAAATATATTTTAATTGAATAAAAAAATTTATCTCTCAAATTTAAAATTATTATTTTTAATTTTTTTAATTTTAAAATTTTATTTTATTTTTTAAAATTATCACTGATTAAAACAATTATTTCGTATTAATTAAATTTAATATAATATTTTATTAATTGGGATATTAAAAGGTAAATTTTATATAATAATATTTAAAAGAGTCACTAACAAAATTTTGGTATAACAATTAAAACGATTTATTAGAATTATGAGATTAAAAAGATCGGTATAAAATTTGATACGAGGAGGGATTTACTTATCTCAAGAGAGTAAATTTACTTGTTCTTATTATTTAATAATTTATATTCTACATCAAATTTTAATTATGCAATTATTAAATTAAAAGTTTTTAATACATAAATAAATTTATTCTTAAATAAAGTAAGTTTAAGTAAACTTACTATTAGAGTGAGTGAAACTCTCCTCTATAAATAAATAAAGGTCAAAGTACATTTTTAAGTTCCCATATTTTCACAATTTTACCTTTTAGGATTTATAGTTTAAAATATTTTTTTAATTCCTATACTTTAAAAAAAAAATTAGTCTTTATTGTTAATTTTTTTTATAATGTCATTTTTGTATGAGTGATGTGAACTTATTAGATTCACAAGGTAATGATGTATTTTATTTTGTAAACAATGATATGTAACTTAATGGTATACTATGCAATCATTAGCAATTTGACCGTTCATCATATTCAATCATGATAAATATTAACTATTCACAAAATCATACAATCCTTCATATTTTTTCCTCCCAAACTATTAAGTTACATATTATCATTAAAAAAAACTTAAATACATCATCATTATATAAATTTAATAAACTCAAATTACTCAAATGTTACAAATAAATTAACGAAAGAATTAGAAAGAAATAAAAAAAATGTAAGTAATAAAGACTAAAAAAAACTTATTTTAAATTATAAGAAAAAAAGTAAAATTAATAAAACTATTAGAATAAAAAAGAATCATAAATAAAATCACTTTTTAAGTACAAAAATATTCATACGAGTTGAAAAAGTAAATTACTCTTACTTATTCAATGTTTTTATAATTACGAGTATAACATATAAATAATTTGGAGTATATATGGATGTGTCAAATGTACAAAAACAAAAAATTTACTATTCTTTTATACAATTTTTTAAATGAAAAACCAAAGTAAAAATGGGCATAAATAAATTTTAATATTTATAATAATATATAAAAATGATATATTTTTTTTTACATATTTAAAATTGTACCTGTCTGAAGGGCACACTAGTAATTTTCTTGTACTCTGAAGGCCGAATGAGAGCTCCAAACGAATATTCCGGCGAGGGGGTGGGTACCTGCAAAAAGCACTCTGACGCTCAAGTCAGAACAAGCACAAATATCGATAGTAATTAATAAATAGTGACGTTACCTCGAGATATGAACTATTTATAGTTACATCAATGGGCCCTGCCCTCCATGGAGCCTGGGGTAGGGTTACATTATTAGGTAATACGCCCTTAATTGGTTTATACGCACAATTAACCCCTAATCATTATTTAGTGATGGTTACCGGTCTCCTGGATTGCTTCACTCCAGTTCCTTCGGCCATTAGCAATGTCGATCGGGTGTCGGTGACTAGATGCAACATGATAGGTCGATCGGATAGGGTATTTCCTAGCTTTTATTCGGGCCGATCAGATGTAAGTGGCCGATGTGTGTTCATTAGGACGACCCAGGGATGGCCGGTTTGGTTACTTCGTATTGAAGGGCATGACCGAATGGTACTACTCGTACACTTGCCCCCCCCCCCCCCCCCCCTGCGAG